AATTGGGGCAAAGTTGCGCAATTTTTTGCTTAACAAAACGCCACTTCGAAATTTGGAATATTTCGAATACTTCCGGAGATACATATACGGAAAAAACCAAAACTTTGAAAAATCGTTTTTATTTTTTCCCTGGGCTCAGTTGGAAAGACATTTCAAAATAAACTTGAGTTTATTGGGGCAACTTTCGTCTTTCTCCCATCTACACAAATGGTGCATTCAAATTTGGAATTCGACGTTTCGTCTTTGGCGGATCATCATCAATTTAAATGCAGGTTTGCCCTTTTTTATTGTATCCGCAGCTTTTTGATTCCTTAAAAGCAGTAAAACATTTGAACATTGAAAAATAATTTTCATCTATAATCTTCAGTGCTGTCCAACAAGAGGCCCGCGGGCCGCATGCGGCCCGTGGCAGTACTTTTTGCAGCCCGCGGAGCAGGCCCCTAAATTTATAAATTACTTCCAAATTTCCAATATGCACAATTCTTACATTCAGGATAAAATGCAAATAAAAAGACATGTGACGCCACTGGCGAAGGATAGAAGGTCGCAGCGAAGTTACTGGAATTTGGACCGACCTTGCTCGACAATATTCGGAAAGCCACGCGGCACGCGCGCGCACGTATATCGTAATAAATAGGAACGCGTTTTCTTCTTTGTATATACCATGCTTATTAAAACTCACAAATGAAGTTGCATTCGAAATATTTTATAATGCGGTCCTCCAAACCGTAATTTTCTTTAAAGCGGCTCTTGAAGTTGGACAGCCCTGATCTATATCTTTCCAATGCACTATGTTCTCTATACAGGGTGGGCGAATGGGAACTTTCCCCCCCGATTTTTTCGATGTGAAATGGAAATCTGGAAAAACCCTCGGAAACATCGATTTTTGATTTGAGGGGGAACTATTTTCAGTTTTTTTCATCCCCTTAGCTTTAACCCTCTAGCAACCCTCTAAATTTGAATAGGAGATAGGGGTCGTGTCATACCTCTTTCTAAAGGTCTCATCGAGTTATATTTATGACTGTAAATTTTCTTCCTATTATTTTTATCTGTAACGAAATGACAGCTTGTCAAAATCTTGAAAATGAACTATGGTTTTAGTAGGAGTAAAAGCGATACACTCCTCCCTTTTAATAAAAATACTACAATTTTAAATTTAAATAAATTTTACGTGAACAGCTAATTAATAATAATAATAATAAATAGTACCTACATTATATACCTAGGTAGAGAAGTTGGTCATTATATACCGAGTGCTTTTATAATAATATATAATGCGTAAGGTATATAATGACTTTATCTCTACCGAAGGATATATAGAATTTTTTAACGGTTTGACACTGAAATTAAACCAATAGAAACCTGTTACGTTATGACAATATCCTTGCATCATGACGTCATTTTCATTATTGACCTAGGTATTTTTTCATTATTTTCATTATTAACCTAGGGAGAGAAATTCAATTTTTTCCCAGAAAAATTGATGGAATAATAGGTCTGTTTCTACAGAAATCACAAACCAGTCAGAGTGAATTTCATTGGTTGAAACTAGTTTTCTGACTGTTTTCAACCAATGAAATTTGCTCTGACTGGTTTGTGATTTCTGCAGAAACAGACCTAATGACTACTTCTCAGGTTAGTAGTAAGAAAACTACTTTACAGTTTACGCACTGGTGCGTGACATTTTATGTCTTCTAAAAGGTGCGTAACGTAAGTACTTTATGCGCGGTAATAGAAAAAAACAATTATTGCGCCTTCATTTACAGTCGGGAATGAGATGTTGTACCCATACTTATACAGGGTGGTCCATTTAAATTGAGACATTTCAATATCTCGAAAATGGCGCGTTTTTGAAAAAAAAAAGTTCAATGTCTTAAGTTCAATGGCTCACCCTGTATACCTATTGTAAATATTGTGTGCTAGAAACTTAAAATTACCAATTTTTCATTGAATATGAAAATTTTGCGAATAAATAAAAGAAAAAGTAAAATCTTGTTTTTTTTTTTTGAAGATAATTCCCCAAGTCAAAAATTTAGTAAGTATGTTGGCAACACAAGCCTTCTCTACATAAAAAATTTGAAAGCATCGACAATTTAACATTGTTTTGCCAACATAATGTCATCATTTTGACTTTTATCTTTAAAAAAAAACAGACTTTAAAAATTCCGCTTTCCGCTTCTACCCTTTTGCGAACGAAAATAGAAAATTTCCTCAAAAAGGCAAAAAGGGGATAATTCCGTCAAGCTGACAACACTGTGGCTGACTTGTTATCAAACGCAAGGATATCAACAAAGCATTTGATAGGTTGGATATAGGCCCCGCCCCTTTCCAATCAGATGCGAGTGATATCAGCTGTGGCAGGGCATTTAATTGGTTAGTTGAGCCCCGCCCCTTTCCGGGGTTTATGTATCGTCAAGGTATTTGATTGGTTGTTTCCCTTTCAACCCTTTCCAATGGCCCCCGCCCACCTACAGAGACTCTCAAATAGAAATTCGGTACCGCCGCCATGTTCTTGCAAATTTTGAATATGAATATAGAAGTTAGCCACGCCCCTGCCGCCATATTTTTTCAGATTTTTTGATGTTTACTCAGGTATTATTATTAATATTATAATTATCTAAGTAGGTATATATTTATTTATTCTTTATTTTTCAATTTTTCCATCTCATATTTTGTCTATTCCCGGATCTTGAATTTTCGTTTTCTTCTTAATTTTTCTAATGGCCATTTCCACCAACTATTTTAGGGAAGCCCTAACAATAGGTATGCCTTAAACTGAAATTTCTCCATGTAAAAATGTCATTTTAGGGAATACTTATCGTTAGCAGGGCTCCCCTAAAATAGTCGAGGTTTATAATGCATGATGCGTGAGGTAGGTATATAATGATTTTCTCTACCGAGAAATAGATTTTTTTTTACTACTGCTAGGGCCGGTTTCTCAATAGCGAGTCACCCTCGGGTTGGTTTTAACTCCAGGGTTAACATGTCAAATTGCAATGTTTACCCTGGAGTTAGCTTAACCGGAGGTGATCTGCTATTGAGAAACCGGCCCCTAGTGGAAAATGAATAATTTGTAATCTGTGCTGTAATTATTTTTTTTGAACGCCCTCTTGAAAGTGGTGTCCTCTTTCAACAGCTTATAATATCTTCCTATGTACCTACAGAAACCTGTATTTTTTTTTTTATTTGACGTATGAAATTGAAATTGAACCAATCAAAACATGACAATATCCTTGCGTCATGACGTCATTTTCATTATTAACCTAGGTATGTTTTCATTATTTTCATTATTAACCTAGGGAGAGAAATTCAATTTTTTCGTAGAAAAATAGATTGAATAATGACTATTTCTCAGGTTGGTAGTAAAAAAACAATTTTAATCGAAAGTATTTTCATTATAAGGGAGGTAAGTATCGCTTTTCCTTTACCCCTACTAAAACAATAGTCATAATTTCCAAGATTTTCACAAGCTGTCATTTCGTTATGGATAAATATTAGAACAAAATTTTAGAGTCATGAAGAACTCGATGAGACCTTTAAAAAGAGGTATGACACGACCCCTATCCCCTATCCAAATTTGGGGGGTTGCAGAGGGGATTAAAGCTACGGATATGAAAAAAACTAAAAAATAGGTGAATCTGTTGTTCCAGATTTTTATTTCAAATCCAAAAAATTTAGGTTTTAAGTTTCCAATTTAACCAATAAACCTGTATCTTTTGTTGCCGTTTAATCGTTTCTAGTGACGTTATTGTTATTCCAGAAGTTAGCTTTCAGGTAATTAGAAATCACAATCCAGGGCCTTTTTGATTGGTGCAATACCAGTGGCGTACACTCGATTGACCTATGAATGGAGAACCATACGAAAATATACAAAACTGTATGATTATTCAAAAACTGTATATAGGATTCAACTCGTCTCTTATGAGTTAGATAGCGAAAACCGCAATGGGCCAATTCTTTTGCATTTCCAGAAATGAAAGCTTTATCAAAATTTCACACTATTCAGATCGGTCTCTTGTGAGGTATCTCATTCTGTCTAGTTACTCTCTGAGGAATTCTAAACGATGAAATTTCAAATTCTTTTGTTGTTGAGATTTTGTGTCCTAATGGTCCTTCGGAATTCCCCGAACTCCATACACTAAATTATTCCCAGATTTGGAGCCGGAAAAGAACGCGCCGCTCAAAAAGTGCGAGCCACTCCGGAGGACTAAAAGAGCGCGTTCATCAATGCATGCCCTAATACCCAGGGTTACCCAATAATCGTACGTGAACGTTCATAAATTCATTCGATCCCGGGCGTTCTGAAATCATTGCACAAAGAAATATTTGTGAAAATCAATTTTTAATGAGCGCCAAAAAACACAAAGCGTCATATTCGGTAGCTAACCGTACTTCAAAACATAAAAGCGCCAAACCATGTACTCAGGTTCAGGTAATTGAATTTTCTGACAGAGGAACTAAATTCCATTTGAGTTTTGACCAGGGAGATCGATTCCTGATTCCGAAACAACAGAATAGAGATATGGATAGCTAGTTTTCTCAAAACTTGAACTGGCACCTAAAAGAGGGCGCCACCAGTAAAGATTTATGGAAAAGAAGGAAGGTAGTCCGAAAGATGGTCATTTTCAATGAAGCCTTTAATTCTCAATTGAATTGCATGTATTTCAAATAATTGCAAATGGTCCTTGGGTCACATTTTTAAATTTGCAAGTTAATTAGAATTTTCAAAAAAAAAATTGATTTACTTGACAGGGTGGCGGAGTGTCTAGAAAAGTCAAGACACATTATATTTTTATAAAAATGTAAAACAACAGGTAAAACATAAAAAAAAATTAAAGAGTTTATTCAAAAACATTATGTTTTTGAAGATTTTACAAAAAATTAGATAATAAGTCTAGTCGCTCTATGGACTCTGAAGTATTTAAAACGAGTAAACACTAAACACAGTAGGTACTCCAATTAATTTTATGGCCAGACCTTATTCCATATTTCTTAATATTTTAGCCTGTTAATTAAACACAAAAGTATCAGAAAAAATATTTTATTATTAGTCCTCTATCTAGCATGTGACAAATAAAATAAAGGAATACATTAAAAAAGGAAATTAGTATCATTAAGAGTTCATTTTTCATGCATAAAAATTTCTCACTTTTAGGAGCGTTAACATTCAGACAACTATTAATAATTAATTATTATTTCTCAATTCTTTCACACTCAAAAACTTAAGAAACAAAATTGAACAATAGTACAGCCTTATTTTCACTTTTTTTTTTTAAATTGAATTTAAATTTGATAAAATAATACATTATTATTTACACAAATCTGATAAATAATAAAATTACAAATCCTCATCATCGTCAGGCAGGGCGGTGTTTTGGGCTTCCACCAAGTCCTTCTCAATTTGCTGCTGCCACTGTGGGTCCATGTGTACTTCTGGTGGTACGAGCGCTGGCATAGCTACAAACTCCAGATTGGGATCGCCTATTAGTTTACGGGCCAGCCACAAGAAGGGTTTCTCAAAATTGTAGTTGGATTTGGCAGAGATATCGTAATACTGGAAAAAAGAAAATATATTTTAATTTGTTGAATAATGAATTTTTTTTTTATATATTAGGTATCGTCAGTGCTCAATGATTAATAATTGTTTTCTCATCTAAATAATATTCAGTCCACTGTGTATAGGAAATTTTCAGGAATAAAATATCGAGACGCTGCCATCAACTTGTGAGTGAGTTGCAACGCGTGTAAAACAGTCAAGCATAAGGGTGGAGGCGCTAGTAAAAAAATGCTGGTTCACCAAGTTTGTCATCCTTATGAAATTGTTATCTATCAAAGATAAATGGAAAGGATTGGGACTATAATGTTAGGCTGGATTTGTTTTTTGCCTTGCTGGTTTGTCAGATTGACTATGATTTGATAGCAAATTTAGGCTATGGAAATGTACCTACTCAGCTAATTATGATAAAAAACCTCACTCACTACAAAAATTATTTGACTTAATTAATAAATGACAACAAAAAAAAAAGAAAAGTGATTTTCCAAAATGGATACAATAAACAATAAAAACTCACCTGTAGATTTTTTTTCCTATGGAACACTATACTCTTAGCCTTGACTTTCCTATCTTTGATGTCCACTTTGTTGCCACAAAGTACAATTGGAACATTCTCACACACCCTGACCAGATCTCTGTGCCAGTTTGGTACATTCTTGTAAGTTACACGAGAAGTAACATCAAACATAATAATTGCGCACTGCCCCTGGATGTAATAACCATCACGAAGACCTCCAAATTTTTCCTGGCCAGCAGTATCCCAAACATTGAAGCGGATTTCGCCTCTGTTTGTGTGGAAAACTAAGGGATGCACTTCTACACCGAGGGTGGCTACATACTTTTTTTCAAATTCGCCAGTCAAATGACGCTTTACAAAGGTGGTTTTCCCAGTACCACCGTCACCTACAAGCACACACTTGAATGTTGGCAGTTGCTGTTCTGCAGCCATAGTTTGGACTGGACAATCTGAAAATAAAACCAATAATTATTGCTTTATGTATGCATAGGCTTTTTATAATAATGAAGTAGTAAATGACATTTAACCATGATGAAGACATCAGCGCATTGTTCAAAGGCCAAGCAAATTAAATAAATTAAACCAAAAGAATGCAGAAGATTTATTAATATCTTGGCCTTTAGGTAGAGCCCTAGAGCCCTGTATAACTGATATAAGCAAGTAAACAAATAAAGTGCAAAAATGCTAACCTAAAATTTGTCCTACATTTATTTATAATAAATAGTAAAGTACTGTTCAATTTGAACTTTGCATTTGAGGAATTGGTTTGAACATTAGATGCAATATAATTCTTATAGGTACGACAGAAATTCTGATGTAAATAATTGATGGCATTTTTCGAAAACAAGTTAGGTTCCTACTCTCTGGGAACACTAAAATCTTGGGGTTTGAAAAATCCCTGGGACGAAAAAGTACTGGTACTACTAGCAAAAGGGCATGAACTTAACGAAACCGTTGGGAACAACAAAGGTTTGTAATTTTGAAGCTTTTTGCGAAGGCGGTAAAAGCCATGTCATGGGAATTTGATATTAGTCGACCGACTTCGACAGGAAATATCTCCAAAATTAACAGATACCTTTGATTAATATTTACAGGGAACTAAAGGATAATATCTAAAAAACTCACCTTTGCAAGTAAATCGCTCGGAATTAAAGGATGACACAGAAATTCACGGATTAGCGAGGCCTCAGCCTAAAGTCGTTAGAGTCTACAATGGCGTTCACTGCCCTTTACAGTAAATCATCTGACACTTGACAATTCACTGGTTGCCGGCTTGAAAGGTGTTTTAGCAAAAACCATGAAGTTAAACCAGAAAAATATATCAGTTTGTAAGGAAAATTATTTGAAAAATTTCAGTCTAGTTAAAATTTAAATCTGCTTATTATTTACTCAGAAATTAACCTTTGAAGTATTGAATATTTTAATGACGTCAGACGAAAATACGACGTCACATTGACATGCGCTATCCAGGGGCGGCACTGCAGAACTCTATCGATTTTTTCGAGCATCAGTGGCTGTAAAATTTGGTCCTCCCTTGGATTTGTCCGGTTTGTCTCCGTTTCGTCCTTTTGTGAAAAATTGAATTTTTTGAATGGGACTTTATTGCAAACTGTCCGTTTAGTGACTTTAGTGGTGTGTGACTTTAAAAACCGTAAATAATGACCAAGGATAGATTAGCTGCCCTGGTTGCAGTAAGTTCCCATTTAATACACAAACTATTCATTCAATTTTACCTTATTCTACTGGCAGCAAATTTGTAGTAAAATTTATGACAATATTCAGTCAGTAAAGGGCATTGTCAAAATTTAACTGCTTCACTTTTATTTGGTTGTAAAGATTGAAAGTCCAGTTTCAACTGTTGCTAAATTTCCTGAGAATTCGAGGAGGTTAGGGAAGAAAATTGGCACAAGTCATTTTAAATCAAGCCCCACCCCTTCGCTGGTTGTCAAAATATTTTTTTTACTACCAATTTGACTATTTTCTAATTTTGAATTTGTAAATTCAAGCCCTTTAATTTTTACTATGACTCTTTATATGACCTAACCTAATTTAATTGACTTTATCAGATCTTTTGCTTTTGCAATATTTTACCAACCAATTTCTAATTCATCATTTCTAATCCTATATTCACAAATCCTATTAATAAACGTATTATTACATTAATGAATCATTGTTTATTCCACTGAACAGAAGACATTTTTTTAATTTTAATTTTTTTCATAGCTAGATACTTACCTGGCTAAATAATACCTAGAAGCTAAGCTGCTGTGCTTGCTGTTTTGTAATACTACCTTCACCTACATAGTAACTAAATATATATAAATATATATTTTTTTATAAGCTGTTAAGCTGGATTTATAGTGTCAGTCTCAGTAACAGAAACTTAAAACTTAAAACATAAAACTTAAGAACAGATATGAAAATAACCATTTCTTAAGTTTTACTGATAAGTTTGTTAAGTGAACTATAAATGGCTTTACGGTCGGCCGTGTTTTAATATTTTACTGTTACTGCTACTGTTACTGATACTGACACTATAAATCCAGCTTTTTTATGAAAGTCGAATATTAATGTCCAAAAAGCAAGATTTGAGTTTTTTTTATCAATGAAATTCTTGATGAAAGTACTATTTCTGTGTTCAGTTTTCAAAATCAAACAAAACTATAATAAATTCTATATTATTTGCATAGCAATTATTACAAGACAGGTCGTTGTTAAATCCTCCAAAATATCCAATTGTACCTACTAAGTTATATTATTTGTTAATAAAGTTCAAGTGCCAGAATTAAAATCTAATAATTCCTTATCCGGATAGGTACCTATCATGATTATGAACACTTCCAGCGAGGTTTCCAGGAAATAATGGTAATTCATTTGTGTGATAATATGACTTGCGAAGCTTGGCAACCAGAATACCGAAATCCTTATGCAATAAAATACTTATACAGGGTGTTTTTTTAACTTGGGTTTTTCCTTTTAAAATGACAAAGAACTTAGAAAAATAAACACATTTTTCAAATAACATTTTTTCCAATCGATTTAATACAGAAAAAGGTAAAATTCTAACAAAAATTGAAAAAAATTCTAAAGGATAATGGAAATTCGAGTGGAAATTCAAACACCTTATTCAAGAAAATCAAAAAATCAAATAATTCCGTATTCCCTGTGCAAAAACTTTATTTAATACAAAAAAGGTAAAATTCTTGTTAGAGTTTAACCAAAGTTTACATTTTCTAGAATTTTACGTTTTTTTGTGAATTAAGATTGATAGATTGTTTACTCGCAGTAATTACGCTAGATTTAGGACAATGTGCAACAATTGTAATGGTGATCCACTGGAGGGCTTTCATTCAATTCTAAGCAATGTTTTTAATAGAGCGTTTCCCACTGTCCCGATAAAAAAAAAATAAAAATAAAAAACCCTGGTATACCCTGGGTATAAAAAATTCAGCAAAAAAATATGAGATGCCTACATAATATTAGAAAGTTTATATTGAACAATATTGATTTTGTGAATTACTACAATAAATATAGAAGGATTTACAGATCCACACTCAAACAAGCAAAAATTCTTTACTACTCAAATCGAATCAATGATGCATCTGATAAATCAAAGGAAACATGGAAAATTGTTAACTCTCTGTGTGGTAAGCACAACCATGCACCTATGTCTAGTGACCAGAGGGCTGACCAATTGAACATCTATTATTGCAGCGTAGCCTCGGAGCTTTCAAAGCACATCCCTAAAACTACACCACCAGAGCGTTTTCTGCGTCACGTTTCTGTGCCTGAAACTTTTTTCTTCTCGCCAACTGATGTTGAAGAACTAAGGTCCATATTTGGTGGGATGGGTAACAAAAAATCCTCAGGTTGGGACAGGATACCTCTGAATGTTATTCAGGCCCTTCCTGATCGGGCTTTGGCTTCGTTGGCTCACGCAGTGAACAACTCTTTCATATCAGGCACATTTTCTCCATGTCTTAAGAAGGCTATTATAGTGCCGATTTTAAAGGGGGGAGATTCGAATGAGGCCTCTAGTTTTCGCCCGATATCATTGCTTCCTACCTTGGCAAAGATTGTGGAAAAGCTGGTTAAGAGGAGAATACTTTCATTCCTCAATAAACATGATCTTCTGGACCCCCATCAGTTTGGGTTCTTAGAATCCAAGAACACAGATGATGCCATCTTTGATTTTCTTCGAGGGCTGTACCTTGAACTCAACACGGGGAATGTGGCCGCCTCAGTGTTCTGTGATTTGTCGAAGGCTTTCGACTGTGTTGATCATCCTACCCTCTTGACCAAGCTTGAGATTTATGGTTTTCGAGGTATTGCCTTGAAATGGTTGCATTCCTATTTATCGGGTCGGGTGCAAAGGGTTATTTTCAACAACTCTAGTTCAACAGAACAAGCCATCTCCACGGGTGTCCCTCAGGGCTCAGTTTTGGGTCCCCTGCTTTTTTTGATTTACATCAATGACTTGCCTCCCTTGCCTATCAGTGGACAATTCACCATCTTTGCCGATGACACCACCATTCTTTGGCACGACAGGGACCCAAATAGGTTGCAGCTAGTGATTGAGAGAGATCTTGGGTGTGTCGCGGAATGGTGCAATTCTAATAATCTTTATCTCAATGTTTCCAAGACCAACATCTTAAACTATAAATGCGACCTGGGTGACGTCGCTCTGAATGACGGAAGAATGTCCCGTTCAAGCACTGTAAGGTTTTTGGGACTGCACATAGATAGCTCCCTTAAATTCGAAAACCATGTGACGCACTTATGTGGGAAAATTTCTTCTGGCTGCTACGCCCTCAGAGTAATTTCTTGCAACCTGGGACTTTCAGTGTCTCGTCAGACATATTTTTCCTTGATTGAATCACACCTTCGATATGGGATCTCATTCTGGAGATGCTGTTCGACGAGCCTGTTCCATACTGTATTTGTGCTACAAAAGAGAGCGCTTCGGTCCATGTGCTCTGCCAGAAGGAGAGACACTTGTCGTCCTTTGTTTGTGCGCCACTCGGTTCTAACATTGTACTGCATTTTCATTATAGAAACGCTATGCCTTGTGCGCAAAAAGTTTAGAGAAGAGCTGTTCTTGCCTCAGACTTACAGTACTCGTCAGACTTTCATGTTGCCTTTGCCAATTCCTAAGTCCGATCAGGTGAAAAAGTCCATTATTTACAATGGCAAAAAAATGTTCAATCATCTTCCTTTGTGTTTGAGACGGCAACGATGTGCGAGGAGATTTAGAAGGTCAGTTAAGAGGCTATTGCTAACAAAGGCATATTACACCTTGGACGAATTTTTTACCGATCTCTTAGGTTAAGTTTTATTGTATTTGACTACTATTGTCTACATGTTCCTTGTGACATTTTATTTTCCTGTATTCCTGTAAATGTACATATAATAGGTTATTTTTCTTTGTTTTGTTGTGTCCATAAGACTTTATCTTAGGGATTTAATTCATGTTTGAATTACCTGTTTTATTCATTTTTCTATTTTTTTAATTTCCTATAGGTATATCTGATGACATAATTTTATTTTTTTATGCTCCTTTTTTATGTATTTATATATAGTTTTAGGTACTTATTTACAATTACATTTTATTACCAAGGCTTTGTACACAACATTTATGTTAGATGCGAATAAAGCTCAATCAAATCAAATAAAAATTGCTTTATTGTAGGAAGACATAGTCTCATTTACAAAGCTGTGGAAAATAAACTACATAATCATAATATCCATAAGATCCAACTTCCTAATAGATTACATATCTTGATGACAAACTAGTAATAAAATTCTAATCACTAAACAATGTAAGATAAAAACAAAAATAAAAATTAAAAACAAAAACAAAAACAAAAATAAAAATAAAAATAAAAATAAAAATAAAATTAAAAGAAAAATAAAAACAAAAATAAAAACAAAAACAAAAACAAAAACAAAAACAAAAACAAAAACAAAAATAAAAATAAAAATAAAAATAAAAATAAAAATAAAAATAAAAATAAAAATAAAAATAAAAATAAAAATAAAAATAAAAATAAAAATAAAAATAAAAATAAAAATAAAAATAAAAATAAAAATATTTGCTATTTTTGACTTTGACTTTGACTAAGTTTTTGCACATGTACAGGGTGCTGCAATTTGGAGTGTTTTAACAGGAAAAACATACTTCCAGACCAGATAGAGGAAAATTGACTTAGATGTCATGGGATTGATTTACAAGAAACTTCGATTGTCAAAAACCGTATCGCGATATCTTCAATGGTACCATTAATACAGGGCGATTTTCAATTTTCCCCTATTATGAAAAATGGCTATAAGTTTTTTGTTTATCAATTTTTTTTGTTTCTGTAAAAACATTATGGAGACACTTTTTTGAGCACAATCCAGTGGCGGACTCAGTTTTTTTCTATATCGTTCCGATTTCGAGATATCGACCAAATTCCTATATTTTCAAATGAAACACCCTATATTTTAATAGCTCATTGGATAGCTTTGTTTTTGCTGATTTCAATGATAGGTAGTTCGATAGGTTTATCTCTAACAGTTTTCGAGAAAAAAAATTATATCTGTTTTTGTCATAAGGACCAATGGGTTAGAAAAGGATTTTATATGTGTAAGGAGAATGAGGAAGGTCTCTTTTTAACACGTTGTTTCTTATGACTGAAAGAGATATAATTTT